CTTGTAATTGTTTGTATTTATTTATTTTGTAAATATAATTTAATTCATTATTTCTATCTTGAAATATATCAATATCATTAATATATCATTTTTTGATCTTTTGATAATATATATCTGGTATTCTAACATTAAAAGAATGGTCATTAACCAATAAATCATTATTGTAAGTTATAACTATTTCATCATTATTAATACATTTATGATATGCATTAAAATCTATTTCATCAGATTCAATAAAATATATAATTAATATATATATTTATATATTTGTTTACACACATACTCATATTTTGATATTTAATTCTTCTTCATTTCATCATAACAATACATAATTAATAGATTGGGTGGTTACATAACAATGTTTACAATATTTTAATACATCAATATGAAGTATTTTAGATTTAATATTTCCAGCTACTTAAATTTAGTTTATAAAATGTAAAATTAAAAATAATTCGATAAAGCGAGAGGTTAAAAGCACTTAAACTACAAAGTAAATAGTTTGTGTAATTTAACACAATTAAAACAAATGAAAAAAGGTACAAAGGATAATGAAATTAATTAAAGAGATGAAAAGTTCATAAGAACAGATAATTTTATTGATAATAAGGATAAATGATTAAAAAAGAGAAAAATAAAAATCTATTTTAAATGAAAAATTTTTCTCAGGTATTTTATAAGGAATTATATATAATTCCAACAATATGGAAAATCAATTATTTTTAGAATGTTTTAAATAAAGCTGAATATACTATGAAAATTACAAAAGTCTAAGAAAGATAATAATAAGATGATTTTCATTAAATTAAGGTGGAAATAGAGTGAATTTAAATGCTCAGAAAATAATGATTTTTAAAGAAATATACACTCAAAAGAACAAAAAAGATATGAAAAACCAGGGTTTTTAAGAGGTTTTAAAGGAATAAAGTATAAACAATGACAGAACAACAAACCACAAAACAAGAAGTAGTTTATGTCACTCCTGATCAAGAAGAAGAAATTGGGATGAAAGAGGAATTAAAACAAATTACAGAACAATATGACACAACCTCATATTACGAATGGGTAAAAGGGCCACATTCTGTATTATGTATGGTAGCATTACTAGGAGTATTAGTTTATTTATACTATAAAGGGTATGTCACTTCACCACCATCAAATTTAGTTCCATGGTTATTTATGTCACTTGTTGTTGTTTGTTGGTGTACTTTCTTCTTACCAGATAGTTATTTTGTACATCCTCATCCAATGTTTTGGAAATGTATTCAAGGTGTTGGGTTATGTTATTTAATGTTAATTTGTTTCTTATTATTCCAAGATGTAAATGATGTTAGACAATGGTTAAGAAATATTGATCCAAAACTTGGTAAAATATTACCAGAAAGAGAGTATGCAGTTGATTGTAGATTATATACACCAGAACTACCATGTAAATGGAACAATTTTAAAAATGTACTTCTCGATGAATTTGTAATATATCATTTTGTTGGATGGTGGGCACGATGTGTTATTTGTCGTGATTGGAAATTAACATGGTTTAATAGTATTTTATTTGAATTTATGGAATTATCCTTCCAACACATTCTTCCTAATTTCCATGAGTGTTGGTGGGATCATGTTATTTTAGATGTTTTTGGATGCAATGCTCTTGGAATTTGGCTTGGATCAAAAACACTTCAATATTTTGAATTAAGGGAATATAATTTTAGTGGTGTTTCCCCTATGCAAAAGAAAGGAAAAATATTCCGAGTTATTGGACAATTTACACCTAAATCATGGACACGTTATCATTGGGGAATGTTTACTCATTGGAAGCGATTTATTTATGTTATTATTCTTATTATTTATTTCCAATTATTTGATTTAAATTCATTCTTCTTAAAAGCAGAGTTATGGTTGAAACCATCTCATTACTTAAATCTTATCCGTTTAATTATTTTAGCTTTACAAGCACCTTTAGTATTTAGACAATGTTATCAATATGTTATTGATAAAAATACTAAAGACATCGGGTCTGCTTCTTGGATTCTTGGCCTTACCTTACTCCTTGAAGGAGTATTATGTTTCAAGTGGGGTTATCCTGAATATAAATCAATTCCAACACCTTTCTTAGTAAAATGGGGATGGATTGTTACTATTTCTTTAGTAGTAGTTTTTGGTGTTATTTTCTTTACATATAAAGAGATTCATTATTCAGCTGTACGTTCTAAAACACTATCAATTCCTTTAGAAGAAGAAGATAAAGAAGAAAAAACAAAAACTGATTAATTTTCTTTTTTGGTAAATAGAAAAATTTGTTATTTTTTTAATATAAAAAATAAAAAAATAATGTTATATAAGACTAAAAAGATGAGAGAAAAAAAAGAAATAATAAAAGGGCAAAAAAATACATGTTTAAAACCTAAAAGGTTTTAAAGTAAAGGAAAGAACTTTCAAAGTTGATTCAACCACAGCTGAAATGGGAGGAGTCAGAACTAAAACTGTTAAGAGAGCCGCAAGAAATATTATTGAAAAGTATTATCCACTTTTAACTCTTGACTTCCATACTAACAAACGTGTTGTTGATGAAGTTGCTGTTGTTGAAACTAAAAGATTAAGAAATAAAATTGCTGGTTTCATTACTCATTTAATGAGAAGAATCCAAAAAGGTCCAGTTAGAGGAATTTCTTTCAAACTTCAAGAAGAAGAAAGAGAAAGAAGAGATAATTATGTTCCAGAAAAATCTGAAGTTAATATTGATAAAATTACTGCTGATCCAGTTACTCTCAAAATGCTTGAATCAATTGGAATGCCAATTAATAAAAAGAATTAAAGAGAAAAAAGAAAAGTATATTTGAAATTTAACACATTTCTTTTTTGAGGGTAACTAGTAACAATTTTATTTCCTTTTTTTAATGTGAATATATATATATTATTATATTAATTAAATAAAACAGAGAGTTAATTAAATTAAAGAAATCTTAATAACAGTTAAAATACATCAGGCCTAGGAAGTACTTCATCAGATGATGAACTTAAATCATGTTGTTTCCCTATCAAGTCTAAGGTTTCTTGTAATAAATTAGTATCCATTGTTTGTTGAGCGTTTAGAGCTTTTTCAATCATTTTTGGTCTGATACGTTCTTCTGCTTTAAATTTTGCTTTTATTTGTTTTCGAGTACGACCATCAAACATTAATTCTATTAATCCAAAGTCTGCTCCATATTTCATTATTCCAGTATATAATTTTAATATTTCTTCTTTATCCCATTTTTTACTTTTTTTTGGTTTTAATAAATTACTTTTTTTAATTGAATTATGTTCTGTCCCATTTTCTTCACCACTTTTTTCATTCGATATCTCACCAATACACTCTTCATCTAAATATCGATTAAATGGTTGTTTAAGTTCTTTTAATTTTTTGATAGAGCTTTGTTTTTTATGACTTAATTTACAGATCTGTCTCATAGATAATGTACTTAAATCAATAGATGAATTTTTATCATTTTTAGTTTTTGAGCTATTTTGTTGTTCAGTCATCTTTGAATTTTTTAGTCTTCTTTTTTTTTTGAGTGCTTTCTTTAATAAACCCTGTATTTTTTTCTTTTTCTGTTTTTACTTTTTTATTTTTCATTGTTGATTTTTTTATTTGCTTCTTTTTTTTTTAATTCTCTTTTTTTGTAATACAAAACACAATAATAAATCAAGATAAAAAAAATAAAAAAAACGACAGAAATTTATAAATAATAGCATTTATATGATTTATTGAAAGAAGTTCAAATATTTAAAAAAATAAGGAAATATTCGCATTTTAGAATTATTTAAATTAAAGTTAAAACTAAAGAATGTAATTACATTAACGAACAGCAACCAGCGTCACTACTTTTATCCCAAGGATTTGTTTCTTTAAATTCAGGTGAGAATGGGTCAATTTTATTTTTGGTAAAATTAACTAATTCCGAACATGCTTCACTTACTTTCATTAGATTTTTAGAACGTTCAAAGTTTTTCATCAATCGTTCTTTTTCTTGTAATAATCGAATAAGTTGTTGTTGAGACATGTTAATTATTTTTTCTAAGTTCTTTTCTTTATCAAACGATAAAAGAAAATAGATTTCTTCTATGACAGTTCTTTGAAATCGGATGTTCCCTTTTTATTTTTATTTCTTAGTATTTTTATTTCTTAGTATTTTTCTTTTTTATAATTCACTATTTTTAGATTATGAAAGTTAATTTAAAAACTACTTTTATAAAAATAGAATTGAAAAATTAAAATGGATTTAATGATCTTTCAAAAAAAAAAAAAAAAATAAAAACTAGAAAAAAAATAATAAAAAACAAAAAAGAAAAGAGAAATGGAAGAGTACAGCAAATATTATCTTAATCAAATGATGACACACCCAAAAGATAGAGAACGAGAGTACTTTGACCATCTTCATCAGTTGAGTGTAAAACCAAGTGAAGAGATTTTAATTAATTTCTATCATTTTCTTAAGAGATATTTAAAAGTCATATCACCTCTTATTGTCTCATCTTATGTTATAGATTTTTTAATTACTTTCTTAGTTGATTATCAGAAATATGTGTTAAAAATATTTATGTTATTTTCTTCTCAACGAAGTGCATGTTCAAGAATGTTATATCTTCGATTACCAACAATACTTTTACAAACACCTTCAACAAAAGCAGTCAATTTATTAAATAAATTATTATCGTCATCTTCTTCTTTCGAAATCTTTACTAATCCTTCTTCATCAAAAACAAAATTTGTTAATGACTTAATGATATTATGCCCATCTTATCTTTATCCTCAACCAATGTCTTCAGACAAAATACTTCAATCAAGTTATCATGCATGGAGATATATAGCACTTACTGGGAATGCATCTTTAATTCCAGCTATTGATACATTTCCTACTGATACTGCTTTTGTAAATGAACAAGTATTAATTAAACAATTGTATGAAGTTACCCAAACAGGAAAAACAGAACCAATTGATAATGTTATTCACGTATTATATTCTCCTGATGGGATTATTTTATTAAGAGATAGACAACTTATTCAAACAATAAGATTTATTTTTGACAAGTATCCAACTCATGAAATAATTACACAAAAATGTGTTGAAGCTTTAGAACTTGCTGCAGTTGATTATCATTGTTTAATATCAATGTTTAATGAAAATTTCTTAACTAAATTTGAACACTATCTTCGATTATTCTCAAATAGTGAAATAATTATTTCAAAAATACTTAATATTCTTTGTTATATGTGTAGTACCGATGCATTAGTTTCCTTTGTAAATCAATCAGAGTTATTATCTACTCTATTTCCACAAAATCGAGAGAAAATATTACAATTTCCATCTTCATTATTAATTAGAAGGAAATTAGTTCTTATTGCCTTTCAATGTCTTCAATCTAAAGTAATTAAACCAGAATGTATTGTTCCAATTATTGATTTAACAGATACAGAATTATATGATTTAACTATTCCATTAAGTTCATTATTGACAATTAATAATTGCAATGTTCTTCTTGAAAAAACAAAAGAAGTTATAAAAAATATTTTAATACAAGGATCTGAGAGTACAGTATTAATAGAAAGTTCATTATATTTTTTAGTCAAAACACAAATTGATAGCTCATTTATTCCAAAAGAAAAGTTAATTAAATATCAAAGTTCAATGGATTTTAATATTCATTCATTATCTAATCAAATTATTAATTCAAAGTATAACAATAATAACATCTTATCATTATTATCTATTCCAATTGCAATTGACTCATCAAATATTTTTCAATTCTTAACATTATATTCTTGTCTTTCAAATATTCTCATTACTGGAATTTCACCATCTCATCTTGATGAAGTATTTTCTTCTATTATTGAACATTTCCCAATGACTATTTTTTCTTCAACTAAAATCTCACTTTCAGAAAAGTATATTGCCGCAAGTAATTTAATTACTTTTATTCTTAATATTCAAAAGAATTATTCTATCTCTGAACAAGTAACAGAACTTTGTTTTAGTATATTACTTTTATTAATTAAATCAAATCCTAATTTTAGGGAACTATGGTTTGAACATTCTGGACATATTTATCTCTTAAAACAACTACCAAAATATTCCACATTACAATTACTTCATGAAATATTAAAATCAAAAGAAATTTGTTTTGAATTAGTTAATCCAAGTAATAATAATGACCAATTATTAGAAGACCGTTTTCTTGATTATTTAAATGACTCTACAATAGATATAGCTTCCTTAGTTAAGTGTATAGAAAATATTATGAACGAAATTTCTCATTCTAAGTTAAATGAATTAGCTTCTTCAATAGTAAAAAGAACAGAAGAGTTGATTGTTTCTGGGAATAATGATATTTCAATATATATGTCCATCTTTCAATTTATTAAGAAGGCAGTTGATTGTTCTTCTTTAGTTTGTGAAAGGGGTTTTATAAATACAATAATTCAAATGCTCTTTTCATGTAAAAGTACTAAATTAAAAAAAGTATTAATTGATGTTTGTGCATCAATTTATAATACTGTTCCAACACTGATAAGAAGTTTATTAAATAAAAATAAATTATTAGAATTAATTACAGAAAATGATGCTGATCAAGAGTTTTATTGTGCTGCCACACGGTGTATTGCTATTATGTCAAAATCTGAAAGAGTTGTAAAATCAAAAATTGAAATTACAAGTGAAGTGAATAAAGTAATTATTCAAGAAAGTAATAGCCAAGTATCATTTACTGATTTAATTAATCCAACAATATTAATGGTTCCTGTTGGTAATATCAATGATTTTGTTTTTGTTAAAGCTGTAGAAAATATTCAAGGTTATGAAAGAGAATTTAAAAAGAAATTTGACCTTCCTGATATGTTACCTTCATATAAATTTATAAAGACGACATGGGACTTATTTGTTAAAGATATAAATAAAGTTGTCTATGCTCAAATGATTTATGGAGTTATTGATTGTTCAACGTTAAGTGATAAAGATGTTATTAATTCAATTACTATGTTTCATGAATGTGTAACATTAAACTGGGAAGAAAGTATTGGACATTTAGCATTATTATTAAATTTACCACAATCATCACAATTATTTAAAACAGAACTAAAGAGTGAAATTAAGTCATTACTATTTGTTGTAGATACTTTAAATCCAACTTCAATTAATTCAATTCTTGTTCACACGGAAAGTACAATAAACACATGGTGTGATAATAATAAACCACTTCGTCCTCATTTTAATCCAATCTTTTCTAAAAAGATTCCACCTCTTTTATATCTTTCATGTGCACAAGCTAATTTATATAAAAAGAATTGGGATAATGCCTATCAAATGTTTCTTGATTCAATAAAAGCATATAAAGTACAATCATTGTATAATGGTAAATTTTTTACTAAAAGTGTTATAGGATTTGTTGCATCAATTATGTTAGATCCTATTAAAAGAAATCTTCAACAATATACTAAAGAATATGAAGAGGCTATTAAAGAAGCAATTAAATTTATAGATAGTTTAGATTTGGGTCATTATTATTGTAAAGAATTATTATTCTATCAAGCTCAATATTATCTTAAACAAAAAGTATATCAAAAAGCACAACAAATTATTGAAGAAATTGATTCTAAACACCATGAAAAAATTAGTAAAACAGAAGATATTATTTCTGCTTTAATGTTTGACTCATTATTAAAACAACTTAAAATGAATCATCACAGGCAATATATTCTATATTCAATTACAGCTTATAAAAGCCAAATCAAATCATTTGATATTTATTGTGTTGATGAATTAGCAGAATTACTTGGAGTTAATGATTTAGAAAAATTAGATTTAGAATATGAAAAACAAATACAACGCCCACATCTTATTATGGAAAATAAAGTACAATGGTCAACATTAAGAGCTTACGTCATTATGAAAAAAGTTATGTTAAGAGATATTTATGATGAGACTATGGCTAAATTATTATTAAGATTATTAGCATATTTCCACGAACATGTAAGTGAGACTGATCAAATAGAAAGTATTAATAGGTTGGATTTAATTTGTAAAGCTATTGGAGGTCCTGTTTATATTTCTTCAAACCTTCCATCAATTCCTGTTATTGAAAGTATTAGTTTAAGTACTATTAAAGATAATGAAAAAATAAGAAGTAGAAAAGTTGAGAAATCAATATTCATTTATGACCCATCAATGCCAAAGAAAATTCCTATTGTTTGGAGTTCAAATGAGACTTCATTTATTACAATTAAAATGAGTAATCCTTTATATCCAATGTTAAATGTTGATAATATAACACCATGGTGTGAAGGAGTTGAAATAGAAACACATTTTAAATGTGTAGATATTATGTCTACTTCCTCTATTACATTTGAATATGCAATTACACCTAAAGCTTCAGGATTATTAAAAATTTATGGTTTAGAATTCGATTGTTGTTCATTACATTTTAAATCAGTTCCAATAGGATTTAGATGTAAAAAAGAATTAACTCCATGTTGTATTGTTCCTGTTGTACATAATGTGCCACGATTAAAAAGTGCTCCAGGAACATTTTTATCAAAAGCAATTTCATTATTCCCTGGTCAAACTAATGAAAGTAAATTAGAATTAATTAATGATGGAGATTTAGCAGTAAATTGGATTAATTTTAAAGTTAAAGACGATGACTCAACTCATCTAACTGAGGTTACTGTTTCTAAACCATTACAAGATATTCTCCCTATCTTACCAAACCAACGTGTTGAAATTCCTTTAGCTATTTCTGCACGTGGAGAATTATCAAATATTAATATTGAAATAAATTATGCTTCTTCTTCAACTGCTCGATTTGGAAGAACATTTTCTATTCCAATTAATGTTATTGTTAGTGTTGGTTTACTTATTGATAAATGGGAAATTATTCCAATAGAGGAAATGTTATTAGTATCTTGTGTTGTATATAACCCATCTGCTTTTTCTTTTACTGTTAAAATGATGCCAAATCCTCAATGGAATGTTGATGATTTCTTTGTTCAAGAACGTCGTGAAACCTTTTCTGAATCACAGAGTAGAAGAAGGTTATTAGTTGCTGTAAAAAAACCATCTTATACTTTAACACCTAAAAATGCTGCTAAATGGATAAATGAAGTTATCTCTATTAGATGGATTTCTTCTTCAGGATGTGATGGAACAATATCTATTGCAGAATCAGAAACTGTGGCTGTTAATACTTCAAATTAACTGACTTTTTTTTCTTCATTTTAAATTGTTATAAAAGAAAAAATAATAATTAAATGTTAAAAATTTTTTATTACTTCTTTTGTTTTCAACTTCAAATAAGTAATTTCATGTTTATCTTTTATGATGAATCCACCGTTTTTATCTTTATCATTATTATAATCTCCATTTTTAATAACTTATTCAAAAGATTGTATATTTACTATTCTATTCTAATTGAATTAATAATTCCTTCATCTTTTATTTAATGAAAAGAAAGTTGAATCATTCAATGATTATTTTTGTTTCAAAAAAAACAGCAATACCTTGAATATTAAAAAAAATGAATAATGTTAATCAATACTACTGTTTATTCTTTATTATAAAAGGCAATAAAAATTAATTTTTGTTAATAAACATACTTTAAGTCAAAATAGTGATTTATAAATTTTAAAACACAGAACTTAAAGAAATAAAAATCAAAAAAAAAATTGAAATTTAATTGAAATTATTGGTTAGGTTTAGAAAAAATAGAAATTTCAATTAGAATTCAATTATTTTTGTATCAATAGTTCAATTTTTTCAATTAACAATTCAATCGTCCCCCTTTTTATGAAATTAATATCATAATAGAAGAGAATAGAATAATAGAAAAATTGAAATTGAGTTGAAATTCTTATTTTTAGTAAGGAAATAACTATCCAAGTTAATAAAAAATTATCAAAAAAGTTCTTATCGAACGATAAGGGTTGAAAACTTATATTTAAAGATTTGAGTTATCAACAGAATTCATTTAATAAACTGTGAAATGAAATACCTTGTCCAATGCCATATCCATATGCATGAAGATCGTGAACTCTTTGCTAAAATTCTTGCAATGCAAAATGAATCAAGAAAAGAAGAAGGTTGTATTAGCTATCTTGTTTGTCAAGAACCAACAAATACTTCTCATTACTTAATTCTTCAAAGATGGGAAGATAAAAAGTATTTTGAAAATCATTTAAATTCTAGTCATTATAAGAAATTTGTTGAATATATTCATTCAGTTACAAACAAACCAATTTCTTATGACTATTTTAAAATTAATTAATTGTTGTTTATTTTTATTTTTTTGTTATTTGAAAAGTATATTAAAAATTTTAGTATTACTAATTAAAAAAAGAAAAAATATATACATCATTAATTTTTAGAAAAAAAATAATCTAGTAATAAATAAGATCACCAATGATGCAACAAGAGTATTATCAAAAAATAATTCAATTTTATGGAGAGTACCAACAAAAAGAAATAGAGTACAACCAATGGGCAAAAAGTTACAGCGAATTCCAACAATACGTAGATGCTAAAAACATTGAAAAAAAACAATTAGAGCAAAGACTAAAAGAACTTAAAGAACAATACAACTTATTGAATATTCAACAAATCCCAATTCGGGATGATGTTGAAGTGAAAAAAGCACTAAACCCTTTCAGTACGCTCCTTCATAAATGGTATGGAATTGACTTTGATGACTATGAAATTTTATTTCCAAAACAAGATGAGACAATAGAAACCAGTATTATTAACCTGGACCATATCATGATTTGTGTTGTAACAACAGAAAATAAAATTATTGGGATTTATCTTGAATCTGAATTTACAAGTGAAGAAGAAATGGAGGTATCGCTATTCAATCTCACATCTTCAAAGTCATTTCCTTCTAACTCTACTTTCAAAGCAAAGGTAATAAGTCAAGCCAACTCACTTACCATTCCGAATGAACTAGAAATTAAAGGTAATGAACTGAAGTTACTCAATCGAAGAAATGGAATTAGTGGAACAAATATTATAGAAACTATATCCATTCTTCGTTTCTCCTAATTTATCAGTTATTTTTGTTATTGTGTTTTGCTTTAAACTCTTTGTTTAGGTAAAAGCAGTTAACCCATGTTAATACTCATAATTCTTTAATCAAATACTTTCACTTAATAAAAAAATGCATTCCGATTACTCTCTTGTCAGCTTGTTTATCTATTTCCTTGACGTTATTTTGAATATACGTCAATACGTTGTTTGTTGTGACTCATTTTATATGAAGATAAACTTAGTATAATTCCTATATATCTCATAACTGGTTCTAGATATAAAAAGATTATTTGAACAGTCAGAAAATGTTTTTATTTTATTTTGAAAAGACATTTAATGGTTTTAATCATTAAGTAACATAACTTTTTAAATAATTCTTGTATTTAAATATTTAATGATTAAAAAATATATACAGATAAATAATAAGAAATTCATTGTTAATTTTTTCAGTAAGTTACTTAAATATTATAGTATTGAAATAAGATTGAATATTTTTTAATGTATATTTTATAAAAATAAATTATTTATTTTCTCATTTTATTTTATATTAAATTAGTATTTCTTATCTTTAATTATCAATCAATTCATTTTAAACTCAGTTCATTATTTTTGTTCTTTTGATTTAGCTAATCTTTCTTTTAATTTATTTACTTTCTTTGTTTGGCGTCGTTCAAGCATTTCATTCTTCATAACAATTCTTCTATCTTTACCACTTAAAACTGCCATCTTTCTTTTCTTTTCTTGTTCTTCTTTCTTAGCCTCTTTGCTGACAGAAGGTGCTTTTCCTTTTCCTTTTTTCTCTTCTCCCATTTCTTCTACCAGTCCATCAACAAAATCACTTTCAAGATCCTTTACTTGTATCTTCTTACTTTCTTCTTCTTTCTTTTGTTCTTCTTCATAATCATATTTAGTATTATTCTTGATAGCATCCAATTGTTTTCTACGTTCTGTAACATAACCCTCTTCTTCTTCATTAACATAAGGAGATAGATGTGGTGGTAATTTTTGACCAATAGCATATTCTCCACATGGAAGAATGAAATTCTCATTAACGCAATCAAAAATCCATTGTGGTTGAATAAATTCACGTTCAATATTTTTATGTTCTCCTCGTTCTCCTACTTGATGAGTAATACTTTCATCATCAACATTATCTACTATAATTCCTCCTAATGTCTCAATAACAAATGCCACTGGATGTCTAGGTACTTCTCTTTGAATGTAAAAGACCATTCCTGAAAATAATCCACTTCCACTACTCTGTACAAAATGACTTGTAACTTGGACAGATGCACCAGTATCATGGTTAACCAACATTTCTGTTGCAAGATTTTCTCCTTCTCCTTTTACTTGTTTTAGTGCTTCATTTAATTCTTGAACATCTTGATCTTTACTAACAATTTCTGTTTCTTTTTGTAATTGAAGTGGTTCTAATTGAACTGTACCAAGAAATTCTACTCCGTTTATTTTAGTAATTTGTGGTGGATAATTAAGACCTGCATTTGTATATAATTTGTAATTAATAAATTTCATTAAAACAACATAAAATGATAAAAATTCATGAAGACAT